TGACTATGGCAACTGTCACATTTTCTGGTGCTACAACTGTAACAGCATTTGTTGCAATTGTCGCATTGTTTGGTGCTGCAATTGTAGTTGGTGTAGCCATGGTCACGTTTACTGGTATTGTTGCATTTATTGCAGTAGCCACAATTGGTCCTAAGACTGTAGTACCAGGTGCTACAGTAGCATTTGCTGTCGTTGCAATTGTGGTAGCGGTAACATTTGCTGCCGCGATTGTTGTTGCATTATTGATGACAGTTGTCGCATTGGTTGGTGTTACGATCGTAATTACACTTGATGTCACTGTTGCATTAGTTGGTTCTGCGATTGCAGTTATCGCATCTACCATCATCATCATCGTCACATTTGCAGTCGAAACTATTGTGGTATTCGCTGATGGAAGAACTGTCACTGGTGCTAAAATTGTACCTGTAGGTGCCAGGCTAGTATTGGCTGCGGCCGTGAGGGTTGTTGCATTGACTGCGATAACTGTCACGTTAGTCGGTGCTACAACTGTGACAGCATTGGGAGCACTTGTCACATTAGGTGTAATGGATATTACAGCTGTTGGTGCTACAGTCACATTCGTCGGGATTGTTACAGCGATCGTTGGAGCCAAAGTGACATTTCCTGTTGGAACTGCAGTCGCATTGACTGCGACAACTGTGACATTAGCTGGTGCTACCACTGTAACTGCATTCGTTGCAGCTGTCACATTAACTGATGTCTGGCTTATTGTTGTAGATGCTACAGTTGCATTTGCTGGTACAGCGACTGTAGTTGTCGCACCTTCCGTCAGATTTGTCGGTAATACGGTCGTAGTCGCACCACCTGCATCGTTTGCTACTGAAATTGTTGTTGCATTAACTGTGACAACTGTAACATTAGTTGGTGCCACGACTGTAACTGCATTTGTTGCCGTTGCAGGTGCTACTGTTGCGTTAATTGGAGAACTGAGTGTAGTTGTTGCAATTGTCGTAACATTTGCCACAGCTGCAGTCATAATCACACCGCTTGCATTAGCATTTGCTGCTGGAATCGTAGTTGCATTTACTGTGACAACTGTCACATTGGTTGGTGCTACGACTGTAACTGCATTTGTTACACCTGTTGCATTAGCTGACGTCATGCCTGTAGCTGCTGCTGTTGCATTTGCTGGAGCAGCTACTGTAGTTGTTGCAACTATCGTGACATTTGTTGCCGGTATTGTAGTTGCATTGACTGTAACAACTGTCACATTAGTTGGTGCT